TGATGATGATGATGATGATGATGATGATGATGATGATGATGATGATGGATGATGGATGATGGATGATGGATGATGGATGATGGATGATGGATGATGGATGGATGATGGATGATGGATGATGGTTGATGGATGATGGATGATGGATGATGATGAGGATGGATGATGGATGATGGATGATGGTTGATGGATGATGGATGATGGATGGATGATGGATGATGGATGATGGATGGAGGATGGAGGATGGAGGATGGAGGATGGATGATGGATTATGGATGATGGATGGATGATAGATTATGGTTGATGGTTGATGGTTGATGGTTGATGGTTGATGGTTGATGGATGATGGATGATGGATGATGGTGATGGTGATGATGAGGATGAGGATGAGGATGAGGATGAGGATGAGGATGAGGATGATGATGATGATGATGATGATGATGAGGATGACGATGACGATGACGATGACGATGACGATGATGATGATGATGATGATGATGATGATGATGATGGCTCCACTAGAGTGTCATATAAATGCCCGCCCGAAGAGCGAGAAACTCCGAAAACGCCGCCAAAGTCGCCTTGAAATTTGCTCCATCAACAGCTCATTCATGTGTGTAAGTGCGGACGCGGATTTACGCAGTCGACATGAAGCGCGGACTCGTCTTCGAGGGGGTTCACCCCGGGCGAATTGCAAACAAATGGGATCAACTGGGTGTCTTTGAAGGAGATCCCTGATCGCCCCTGTCTCGGTTGACTAGTATGTTTCCTGCTTCCTTGGGGTTGTTGCCAGTTGCCTGGGAGGTCTCCCTGTTTCAATACACACCCATATCCAAATCTGCCTGCTTTGAGATCAGCTTTAGCACTGGAGTAGCCAATGCACCATAATGCACCACTTCCCGAGTGGCCATTGCACCAGCCAATGCATCAAGGCATTCGTAACATGTGGATTTGCAGCATTTGGGCAACAATGGCACCACATCTGAGTGCCCTTTCTCAGCTGCCACATGCATTGGAATTCTCTTGGCGGACGTGGCAGTGGGATCAATCGGGCCTCTGAAGCAACTCTTGCTCTTAGACAAGTGATGTCATTTAAATTTGCGTGCCAACAGCTATTCAATAGTCATGCGCACGGGTATAAATCTACGATCACCAATTGCACTCTCAGAAGTGGCTGAAGTGGCATCTGATTCTGCAACTCAGAGTTTCCTTCGCCCAAAAGCCTTCGTCGAGCTCGGAAGTTTGTCTCCAGTTTGAGCTGCCAGGACCTCTATCAGGTCCCCCGCAGACTTGCCAGTCTCATGCTGGAGACCCAACTCATCTTCCTCAAGCTCAGCAATGGCTTCACCTGGAGATTTTCCGGCGTAGCCATTCAACTCCCCGGCAAAGCTGCTGAGTTCGGTGGACCTAGGAACCTGAGCGGTTCAGTCCCCAATACCTATAGGCCTAGGAGGCTCCCAAAGCTGGCAGGTATGACTCGGCATGACGACAGAAATCCTACAGAACGTATCATGCCTCACATTGTGGGAACACCAAATTACCTGAAGAATCATCTACCCCATCGAATCTACCCCATCCATCGATCACGTTGAGCTTCACCAACGTGATTATGCATGTCGTGGGCTGCACCAAGACGAGTGTCCATGGCAACAAAACCGAATGGAAATCCTGAGACGACCGACAAACCAATGGCAAACAAAATTTTCTAACCATCTGAATCCATCCATCTAAACCCAACCAGTCTCCCCATTTTACATCATTTTTAGCCCACTCTTGCTACCAACCAACAAGCCCAGGCCCCCCCCGATCGGCCCAGCCCCCCCTTCTTGCATCCGGCACATTGATCGGCGGGTAGATCTGTCGATTGTGCAAGGCTCGGTCCACGAAGACCTACCCGAGCGGTTGGGGCGGCGGCTCGTCTTGGGTTCCGGCGGGTCGTACCTGTGGACTGGGAGGGTGGCCAGGCGTAGCAAGAAGCTACGCACGGTGGAGGCCATCGCAAGAAGCTACGCACGGTGGAGGCCATTGCTATTAGGTTGGAGGCCATTACTACGAGTACTAGTAACAAGAATCTACTAGTAACAACATGTAACAACAGACTCCTGGGGACTTGTGCGGAAACCCGAGAAATCATGATGAATGTCGGCATCCCGAGGCACTGACTTCACAAGCATCGAAACAACCAAAAACGCGTTCAAAGGGAATGTGATGGAATGTGCTTCACGAAACATGCAAACAAGTCCTCCTTTCACCAAAAACACATCATATGTCCCAATTCCAGTCTGTTTGATCAAGCCTGATCAAGCAAGGCTTGCTTCTTATAGCTCCTAATTGGGTTGCTGGTTCATGCTGGTTCTCTAAAAAGCCCGGACCCCTGGAAACACCCTGGACCGGCCACTTGTGGAGAACCTGGTGCTCTACAGTCCTTTCACACCCACGGTGTTCGGCTTTCTGGAAAAAATAAACTGAAACAAATAACAACTGAAAAATCCTTGACTCTTTTTGGACGCACGCTTCTTTTGGGCGCACGTCATGCATGGGCGTGATGGAATTTCACTGAGCTTTCATTCACAATTGCCGATGTGTCTCAGCATGATTACAACGGCAATGAAGATCCACTAGCAAATGATTACCATCTTAACTTGTCCTACTGCCAAAGTTTGTTGAGCAATAAATAAATTGAACTCTGGGCCGCACTCTCCGAACACAAGAACACCTTGCAGGGCTGGCACCATCCAGGGAAAAAATGCATGGTTCAATGAACCATGTTCAATTCAGGGAACTGATCAATTCATGGTTCAATGCATGTTCAAAACCCTTCAGGGTACTTTGGACGGCTGACCCTGACCCTCATTCACCCTCACTGCTCGCCTGACCCTCAGTGATGTAGCCAGTGAGGTCTGGGATCGGATGTGTAATGTCCTGCAAGGGCAAAGGCAGCACAGAACACGGAACGAAGAGACTGCGGATGTGCCAACTTCTCAGAATGTAACCACAAACTCCAGATTTAGAGCAAAACTTGACACAACATGATCAAAGATACTTCGAAAACTACTTCGAATTCCTTCGTATGAAAAACACTCAACACATGCCACCGTCTCATACCGTGTGGGCTTCGATTTCACGACGCTGTCACCGCAGCCACAAAGTGATGCCACAGAAAAGGCTATAAAACTGTGGCATACCTAGTCACTGGCCATACCGAGTTGTCCTCCCAGCTCTGCCCTCCACCTTGAGTCCGAATTGCACTCAACCCCTATGCTTCCCGGCGTCATTGGGCATCGTAAGGATGGGAAACTGTGTGATGGAGCCATTTCCTCAGCCATGCACACCGAATCTACCATCTGGAATACAAAGATAGATACTGCTGCTATGACTACTAACATTTGGTGAGACTAATTCACGTGTGATCACGTGTGCTTTCGCTTGCATTTGGAGAGCCAAAACCTCATGGACAATTACCTATACAGGCTAATGCATAGATACTTAGATACTGCTGCTACTTAGTGAAACTATCCCATTCATCCCAATCATTCCACTTCCTCTTCTATAGTTCTATAGCATTACCAAAGGTCAACTCGCGTGTCACCGCTTCCTCTCCGGCGCCACGTGGTCCAAGCGGCGACCCTCGACTCGGCCCGCGCGTTCGTAGATCGTGGACAAGTCCTCCGTCGCGACGCGGCGGTTCCGCGCGCGTTCTCGATGAAAGCATTGCATTGGCAGCAGGCATGCTACGCGGCTACGAGTGACTCGGTGACAGCGGCTACGAGTATTGGTGGTTTGTTTGCCTCATGAGTTGAAAGCATGTCGATGTCTTTCATTGCGTTTCAGGGTCTTTTTGAAAAAGACCCTTTTTCCACTCACTCTGTTCTTCTGATTCTTGCGTAATTAGCTACTGCTCTTTGTGCAACAGGGGAACCCCATCAACTTCACCCATTCCAACTCAAACTGCTCAGAGTCGGGCTGTGTACCTGAGATGACAAATTACGACACTGCTGAGACTCTGGTTGGCTGGAAGGGGAGGGATTCGCAATCTCCCATCCAAGATGTGGGTGATTGTGGGTGCTACGTTGATTGGGAGGTGTGTGAGTGTGTACACTTCTTAGTCTTGTATGTATAACTTGTGGCTAACAAATCAACACTATATAGAGGGTTCCTCAGGGTGTAGGATTTTCGACCAACATCGAAACAAACTTCAATCGCCTCATAAATCTCTGGGCATAAACACAAAGATCCAGAAACATCAAACGACTGTTGCCTGGAACATCTTAGCAACATCCGAATAAAGTCTCAGCTGATCAACAAGGAATGACAGAACTTAATCGTGCATGCAAATAGCGTTTCATCATCAACGAATCACACGTACTCGGCAGTTACGCAAAACTAATGGGGCACATGTAACCGGGATATCCTCGTCGTCCTGGCACCTCCTCTCGCGCTGCTGACACCTGTGGGCGAAAGTCAACAATTACTTTTACTGTTTGGATGACGATCCATTTGGTTGCTGCAACGCATGTTCATGGAAAAAATCCTGTACCATCTGGAACCCCTAAAGCGCTGCTGTAACATCATCATCCTGAGGTATACCTCATCTCATGTTCAGTGCGAGGTCTTCCCAGTCTTCCCTGGACAGAATATGTTGGAACCAATCACTCAGCAAACCTTCTTTACACAGAAAGTCCGGCCTCTCGCAAGGCATCTGCATAGGAACTCATGTCAGTCAGAATCACAAAGACCTCACTGTGGCAGTGGTGAAGCCTGCAAGGATCTTCAAATCCGCCCGAACCGAAGGTGCTGAGGCGTTAAGTTGTCAGTAGCGCGTTCATCGCTATATAGCTTTAGCTGCAAGCAGGGAGGCGTCTTTGGGTGGGAACGAACATGCATATTCAGCATCAATCATATTAGCCAGGAAAGAAAAGTGAGAGAAAAAGAAACCATGGAAATACAAATAGTTTTTATTATATATCATGTATGTCTGACCATCTTTATCATCATCGTATCATTTTCATCAACAGGTCCATAAAAAGGCGAATGACTCCTTTCAACAGTCTACGTCTTAATATATAGTTCATGATTGCATCATATGCATCAGCTGGTTGCAAATGTCAAGTTCTATATTTGCTTAAGGAACCATAAACAAATAAAACATATTCCCCAGAAGGGGATTCACCCATAGGGAAAAAAAACAATCATCCTAAGCAAAACCAGGTCACGGTGACATATGCATCAGCTGGTTGCATAGTTTATATTGCAAAATGCCTGAACATGTGTATAATTTGGGCACGGTACAATTTCAAAGGGTTCGGACAGAAAAACTATATACGCCATGCATGCTTGCAAATTGTAAGAAACACAATTTGTACAGGGATGCCCCAAAAGAGAGTTTTTAAAGACTTCTTGAACTTTATTCATCCACTTCAAACTTCATTCTGCGGTCATCTCTAAGTCTTGTCTCGATCATGCACATGATAAAATTTTTGTAACAATCGCTCCATGTTCGGACGCCCTTGAACATGTACCTTTTTCAGCGGGGTCCAAGTTATATTACTTTGCTGGCATTGTTGGATGTCATTTCGACCCCCTGAAAGATGTACCATTTCAACAGGGTCGAACAATAATCCAACGATGTTCGCAAGTTGTAAGACATTACCCAGTTTGCAAGAGTGTTCAACAATAAACATGGAGTCATTATACAGTAGATATTTCTTTCATGTTATTATATGTTATTCATCCACTTCATGCTGCGTTCATCTCCAAGTGTTGTCTCGATCACGCACATTGTATAGTTTTTCTACATTATCACGCTATGTTTGAACTCCCTTGAAGATGTACAATTTCAAGGGGGTCGCAAATAGATCCAACAATGCTTGCAAATTGCAAGCATGACTGACACAACTAAACCATTTGCCAGAGGGTCCTAAAATAGCATGATTATATAGAGACTTCTTTTACCCTGGGGGCTCTCATCGTCGCGAAGCGACGACAAATTGCCAGAATCTATATATATAACTGTTTAAATCATTGTATAATTTTGTTTACCAATTACTCCGATTCATAACTGTGACTTCGAAATCCCAGGAAGTCTGTAGATGTTAGGGAAATAGATTATTCATTGGCATGAGAAACTCCCGACTCCCGACTGAAGAACTTTCAACACAGAAATATGTGAAGAAAAATCTAGGCTTTTGGCGTGCTGCTCTCGCGTGTACCTGGCAGAATCCGCTTTCTCTTCGGGAACTTTTGGGTGATCATTTAGCAGACCCAGGAACCAAGCATGTCGACTCCTTTCTACCAGCGATGACACCTGTTGAATGATTTGGGAACCACTCCTAGCTTCGAGAACAGAGGTGTCCATTATCCATTAACGCACAGGACAAAAAACACGCCTGTATGTCTTGGATACTCCAGGTGATTTATTGCGGCCTGACCGTCTGACCCTCTGTGGTTCCGTGCGCGAAGTATTCCGCCGTGGTCAATGCCAAGCGCGGGGTGACAATACGCTCAATGGTGGGGTCCTCAGGTGATGGTCAGGCGGCCAACATTCACGGGATCATCACATCACATGGCGGGTCTTCGCAACCAGGCGCCTTTCTTGAGTTGGTCTGTTGCCGTGATCAGTTGCCGTAATCGGTAGCACCCTGGCGGTTTCCTGGGCAGGACTGACTGGGCGCCCCACATTTGCCAAGTTCATGAAGAGCACCACATTCTCCATGGAACCGTTCCTCAGCCCAGACTTCGTCAGGTCTGGCAAATCTGACGGCAAAAGTATATTGGACCCGTTCCTGGCAGCGAGGTGGCTGAGGTGGCTGAGTACCAGAAACACCCAAACTTGAAGACCTGAAGAAGCTGCAAACCATTCGGTTTGCCCCTTCAATGTCTCAGCCGCCCGGCTCTTCGAAGTCGTTCCGGAAGAAGCGCGCCGTCTCCATGTTCACACCTTGTGAGCGTTCTTGCATCTGGATGAAAATGCAAAGCCATTCACAACCAATTCCCCGCTTCCGCCATTTGACATGGCTGCACCAATCAGTGGTGTCTTCTTAGTACTTAGCCCACTTGCACAGCTAAAGGACCAAAACCAACAGATTCCCCCTCTTCAGTGGACTCTTCGTGCCACTGGCCACAGCCTTCCGAAAGAAATGACTGATTGGCAATTGGGCAAAGCAAATGACGAATACACTGTTGTTTGTTCCTCCGCTGAGGCACCTTCACTCATTAAGTGTCAAATGGGTCCGCGGCTCTCCATCACCAAACATAAACAATGTTTGAAAGCCTGCGGACCCAAGCCTGAATACAGTATCCACATGTATCCACCATGTTTCAGACGTATCTTCATCTCTAAAACTAACACAAACCATGCGAACCATATGACTTCATGTGACATGTGGTTTCGACGAAACAAACCACCAGTCCAAAGCCCCAAATCCTCACTGTCACCATGCCATGCCATCCATGCACCAAACTTGCCCATCACCCCCCCCCCCCCCCCCCCCAAAAAAAAACTCCCGCCTTCATCAACAACACGCCAAAACCGTGTCCTCCCGTCCCGTCTTCACCGGGACCGCAGCACGGCCCGCTCAGCTCGCTTGGCCGCTGACGCGCGGTTCATGGCCGCTGACGCGGACGGGACTCCGGACCCATGGCGCCGAAGACGATGCTAAAGTTTTCTTGGCTGTGGTCCTGCACCTGGAGTGCGGTCCATGGGTGCGGGTGCACCGTGGGGGCGCAGTAAGGTCAGAACAGGTGCTGTGTGTGTGGAAGACGATGGGGCGAGGGAATGCAGTGGTGCATTAGTCAAGATCTTAATCCCACTCTTCCACATCTGCACATCTCTCAAACCAAACAAGCCCACAAAGGTTGAAGAACCCTATGGACTTTTAAGAGGTACCCTGTGACAAGTCCTATTTACGGATTAATTGAGCTCTCTTGGATACACCGTGTTCTTCCAGTTCGTCCTTCCTTCTGGTCCGGTGGCGTGTTCCAACGAGCGTGTTCCAAGGCGCATCCTTGCCCTTCACCAGGGATGCTTGCCGACAGACCTGCGTCGAGGCGTCGAGGCGTCCAGGTCGTTCTCTGCCCACCAGCAGAGGCCGAAGAACCCTATAGACCATCCTATATATAGGTACCCCTGTAGGGTCCTATAAGGCCACTTCACCTCTGTAGGCAGTTCGTCCACTGATGAGGTCAGACCTAATTATGCCTTGGCTGGGGTGTTTGCCCTTGAAGACCTGTTACATCCTGTGACCTATTCTTGATGAAATCTGATAATCTGAACCAAATGATACCTGTACCATCCTATCTGGGTGTCCTGTCAGATCTCCAACTAGTGTAGGGTGGTCCGACACCCAAACAGGATGGTGGTAGGTGTTCTGCGATTGGATGTCCAAGGATTCTTTGCACATCGAGGGTGCACTGCATCGCTTCAAACCGGAGAATGGGTGAAGGACTTGTGTTTGAACTGCAGGGCGGGTCATCCGTCATCCAGTCGTAAAGAATTGGGCTTCAACTGGCTTCAGCAATAAATCAGCCAACCATTCATCTGGGCTGCACATGCTGGGCCTGTGCGGCAATCTCATTGTGGGGCAGGCCAGCTGCCTCGGAGTGTGAAGTTGGCCGGTAGAGCTACTTGATTCCCAAAGTCCGAGGAGCTGAACCGGGTGATTCTTAATAGGGTGATCTTCCAGCAAAACATGCTAACATGTAGTAGTGGAAGACCATGTTAGACCGGCCCCAGCTTGGAAAACCTTTCAGCTAAGAATGCTAAGGGCACAAAGAGCAAAATGACCAATTTCTCAAAGAACAAGCTCTTGTGGCCAAGAAAGCCTCAGGAAGAAACTGTGTGAAACGTCCAGGCCAGTAGGCTAGTCTGTTGTGCAAAAGACGCTCGCTTCTCCATGATTGTTGTTGCTGCTTCTGCCCCAAGTCCTTTCTGTCCGTTGAATCCAGAATTGAATCCAGAACCACGAGCCGCTTTTCACCACAAACTCGGCACCCCTTGTTCGAATCGAATCATCCAGCGCTCTACTCTCCCGGCATGATCCACAACCGCAAACGCGTCTGCCTCTCCGTTCGAACGCGTCCGCGGTCTCTCCAGACCGGTCTTGACCGCTCGGGCCCTCGGGGCGTCCGCACCGAGAACAACGGCAGCTTCTGCCCGCGCACCACGGAGTTCATGGTGTCAATGGCACTAATCCCGGTCCTCAGCTGTCCGGGTCGAAGGCAATGGTAGTCCGCAGGGTCAGGTCGTTGAAGGGTCAAATGAGTGATATGTGAGAGATGGTACAAGTATGTACAAGTACTCTGAAACCACCGGAAGTTTATTGATTTTAACATGATTAACATGTTTGATCACATTCTTCAAAGCCACGTGCCCCCCTTGAGGGCGGCTGGGTCCTTTGAGGGGTCTTTGCCATAGGCACAACTCATGCTGTCGTAAATGGTGGACCCACTGTTCCGCTGTCTCCGGCTGCGGTGTAAAAGCACGTGGTCGATGCGTGATTTTACAGACTGATGGCGATGATCCAGTTGGGAACATCACGGGCATGAGAAGGGAATGCCCTTCTGTGTGTGTGTGTGTCTGTGAAGGATTCACTGGAAACTACAGTAAGCTCTCCAAACGATCGGCGAGTATCCCTGGAATGACGATGTTTGGTTCACCAGGTGTTCGTCACACGACCCACCACGAAAGGCATATCATCTATAATCCACGTTGAATTTTCACACGACCTCTCTCCTCAGTTGCATGTGACTTCACGACTTGTTCATGGGAAGTGATTTCCCGGGGTATGGGTATTGGAGGTCCATCGCTTGGGGGGATCGTTATATATATTAATATATTAAAATAAGATCCTGCCTTCCCTGGAACCAGATACCCCCTTTTTGGAACATGTTGGATCCGATCCGGAGTGCGTCGTAACAGATCCAGGACACCCAAACAGGAGACCTTCTGAGATCTTCGACAGATCCGGATGGTCTCACGTGCTGAGGCTCTCACTGGATCATCTCCTTGGGATAGACCCGGGACCTGCACAAGAAAGACTGATTTGAAAGGGGAAATGCTACAAACACATACGTTTAAATTTTAAGCGCTTTAAGTGATTTCATCACAAGGTCCTCAGCAAATTCTCAGTGGATCAGAAAGGGTCTGGTCGACGGTCTGGTGCTTCCATGAATCACGTGTACATTTGCTGAAGACCTCAATGTATCTCAAGGTGCTTCGTTCCACTTAGTCACTTAGCCCTTTCTATTTGCCCAATCCACATGCTCAGCCATCGTTTTCCTCCCACGGAGCCACCGCCGGGCCCCGGGGCTTCGGGTTCAGCGGAGCTCCGCCGATGTCCAGGAACTCCTCGGCCAGCACCGTGGGCCTGCCATCGGGCCATGGTTCGGTGCCCAATCGTTTCAGAAGCGAAGAAGAAGCTGCCACCTTCATGTGGAAGCTGCACAAATGAGGTTGACTACAGGTTAAAGGGCATGGACACTTCACCCTGGATGACTACCTCCTCTCTGCGGATTCATCCTGAAAACTCTCTTGCCAAATGAAGAGGTCTCTTGCACAGTTCCCGACGGCTCCCGCGCCCCTTGTCAATGGGCTTCCCTGATCCGTTGAAGGCACGGCCTCAGCCGCAGGCGCGCAGGCGCATCGCCCCCCCCAAAATGACTCCAAGTATATATTGGTCGTGGATCAAAATAAATAGGACCTCCCAGGCCACGACCCCCTGGAAGAATGACAATGATTAATTGAACATTATAGAACCATTGGGCCAGGGGGTCTCTCTCTCTCTCTATGAAAATACACACCTCCATCCCTCCATGGCCCTTTTCCATGGTTTCCATTGATTTCCATGAAGACACTGGTTGCACGGTTGATCAAGTTTGGTGAGAATCACTGAACAGCATGCTACTTGAACAGCATGCTTTTGGAACCACTGAGCCTGACAATCTTAGGATTCATCTTTGAAACCCATTGCCAGTTGATTTTGCCGATGACAGCCCATCAAAATGACAACTCACCTTGACAGCGCCACTCCAAGTTCCCTTGCCATTGGGCCTAACAGCACAACAGCACAACATCCTTTATTTGGAAAAACGTGTTCGAAACTCAATCCTCTATTCGCTCAGTGTCCGATCCAATATTTGTCCATGTTCCTTCACGTCTCCAAGAAAGAATCTTCACCTCTCTTTCGCCCCGAAAGCTGCTCGACCGCAGGCTCTCGGCTCTCGCGGCTCTCTCTCGTGTGCCCCAGCCCATGAGGTCATCAGAGATGGGCATTTTCAAGGTGTCTCCCGTGAACTCGATGTGGCAATCCCTGCGGGTTTTGAAGGAAGCGAGGGGGCGACGCCTTATCCGATGTGTTTGTTTGTTTTTTTCCAGCCGAACCACATCTTGCAAACAACCGCTTGGAGCTGGGCACTCTTCGCTATCACGTCTGCCCCCAATCAAAAGCTTTGTGGTACGAAGGAGGAAGGACATGAGAACTCCCCAAAAGAATCCAAAAGAGGTCTAAGATGCTCCAACTCATCTTGTTGTTGATCAGCATGTGTTTGATTGACATTTTTGTAGAACAAGCCCCAAAGCACTCGCTGAGGCCGTCGAACAACAACAAATTGGAACACTACCCAAATCTTTGATCGTTTCCCTACATACTGGTAGGTTAGAACATGTTAGAATCTCTACAAAAGCTTGGCCACTGCTCATCGAAAAAGGTTGGGAGCGCTTGGGAGATACCACTGCTCACTCCACTGCGCCTATTGTCGATGTTGCTGGTCCCCTCAAAGACCTGCACAATCGCCTGTCCCAAAAAAAGGCTCACGAGCGGCGTGAACGACTCGGACTCCTTCCGTGCTCGGTCGGTGAAGGGTCATTCCCTGCTCAGGTCATGTATGTTCAGCGTGGTCATCTGAATGCAAACGAAGACGGCCGTGACCCGGCTGATGGGCCATTGCCATTCATGTGCGTGTCGGCTCGGAAATGTCGGCCGACCCAAGATGACCCCAATTCTCCATATTGTCTTAATTGAAAATGGCTAAACCGTTTAGACCAGTTGGTGGATGTCAAGGCCAGATCCTTGCGGGGGGGGGATCCCTTGCGATTTGGGAATCACCTCCACGTCTTTTTTTCTGCGCGATAGGGAAGTAGGTGAGGATGTGGTGGGTTGGGATGAGTATGGCCTTGAAGGTTGACGTTCACTTCGACTAACACTCAATTTGTTTTGACCCTTCCGGTCTTGAGGTGGAGTGGGTGGGGATTAAAAGTGGACGTGCTTTCATGATTGAATCAAACTTACATCATCTTGCATCTGTTTTGTTTCACAATCAGCCACCAAATGCCCTTTCAAATTGGATCGTTCAATGGATGTAGCTCATACTATCACACTGCGATGGTACTACTTCACTGTTAGCCGCACATGCTTGGGAACAGCGAGTCACAAGCGAGCCCCACCACAGATCTCTGCATGAAGGACCAGTTTGCAAAACAAATCCTTTTGTCCAAACATGTCCAATGGGTGGATTCCAGCCATGGCTTCAACACGTGATGTACCTGCATGCCCATGTGCAAAGTCATTCATGACTTCCTGAAGACTCTGGTCCGACTGCCTTCTTTTTGTTCACCTCCAAAATCTGCCCTTGACGGACACTACCATCTGAGAGGTTCACGTTCACGATCTCACCTGGTCCAAGAGACCCTACAATTCACATAATTGGGCAACGGCCAAGGTCAGAAGTGCCAGCATCGGGTGATGGGTAAGTCAGGGAATCATCGTTGGTACATTGGAGGAGAATCGGAGGTTTGGTGGAAGCCGGTTCGCAAGTTTGTTGCGTTCCAGAACCATCAAGAAGATGACGTGGACTGCCAAGCCCAGAAAAAAGATATAAACAGAGTTGGTCTCCAACCCCAACTGCTTGCCCTGGAGGGATAAACCTTGCGATCTGATAGAGAGACTGCTGGCCTTCCAGTGAAGATGAAAGATGTTCAAGCCAGCCAAAGTGTTTCTCTGTGGCTGGTTCATGCTGCCCATACTTGGGCAAAAAGATTGCAAGTCGGTCCCAACTTGTGTGCATGTGAGCTGGTCATGGCCATAAAGTCCTGGCATGCTGGAACTGCCAAAGGACACACCTACTTCACTCTGCTTGTGATGCGGACTAGAGTGGCCCGCGGGCCGAGTCTGCGGACTAGAGTGGGCTAGAGTGGGCCCGCGAGGTGCTGCGGGGAACAACCATAGCTGCTTTTTGAGACATAGTCCTACAGTGTACAGCAACAAGCTGCCAGTGGGAAATTGTCATTTCGCAGTCTGATTGACCAATACCTCCGATATTGGCTCAATGGATCCAATATCGGAAACTTGACCAACATCTGAACTGGGATGAAACTGCCTAAAGGGCCTAAATCCATTGATTCAAACAAAAGCAAGCTGGCAGCTCATGTGATGCCCTCCCTTTTGTCCAACTGGTTGGATCCTGTTGAATCCTGAGCTTCTGGCCGTAGGTTGGAAACTTGACATTCTCCATAATCACCAGAGGTCCCTGGGCACTGTCTGTTGGCACGGCACGTGGTCCGTTGATTGTCTAGTCTTCCTCAACTAGACACTCAAAGATTTTCCGTGGCACCAAGAAACCCGGAAGTCCCCGACTGTTCAGTCGTGGATCTCTATGTTGATCTTCAAATCTTGATGTTCAACTTGTTCAACTGAGTATATACGTATATATGGTTTAGATAACTAGGTGGACATTTATATATCCCTTTTTTTTGGGGTGTGAAACTTGATGCTTTGTTTTTTTTCTTTTCAGAGGTCGAACTGGTGGGGCTGGTGGGGGTCTCACCATTTCCAAATATAACTCAAACCCTTTCATCTCGGAGCATCACGGCATGAAATGTCGCTCGCGGACGCCGGTGGATGGTCGTTCTCGATCAGGTTTCTTTCGTTCGCCCACCTCGACACCCGTGATGGTCCGGTAGTCGATGCGAGGGTAGACCTGGCGTCTTTGACGTTGAAGGGCATGGATAGACAGATACCTGCTAGAACCGAAGTCACAGACAGGGCCTGGCATCTGTTTATCCAAAGTCAAGACATGAAGGGTGAGTGAAGCTACCGGTGACAGCTGCCCAACCTCGGTGCTCGACCACAGCCGGCGACCGACTGAGGTTCGGATCGACCGACCGACGCGCTGCCGCTCCGAACCGGTGTCGATTGCGTCCGTCGGCCAATGCAGGTGCACTTGTTCAATCTTTTTCATGGATAGCATGAAAGCATGCAAAAAGGCCGTCTGATGTCAAGCTGGAACCTGACGGAAGCACCACCTGATGTCATCAAGCTGCAAGAAACCACCTCCTTGGAGGTCGCCCAGGTCAGCCATTCTACATCTGTTGGGAATACCCTTACAGTAAGCGGCATGTGAGCCACTTGTTACAACACCTCTTCCCTTTTTTCAAGGAAGGGACGGTTGCGAGTGACAGCCTTGTAGTCGCGCTGCGCCGCAGCGGCATTGACGGCTGCAGCAGACCTTGACGCCAAGGTCTAGGCATAAAAGGAGTCTTACTGGGCAAGTCTTATGAACTTGACGTGGGCGAGACTGATGAGCCTTTTCACCATATATAGACGAAACATGTTGAAACTCGTTCGTGGGATACCCTCTCATTAATTTGGGACAAACTCCACAGTATGAACATCTGGACTAACAGTAACATCTGGTACAAAGTTCCACTTGGATCACAAAGCCATCTTGACCCTCAGTTCAGTCATTTCTGCACCCTGGATTGCACTCTGCCCCTGTGCTCCCGACATGGCGAGACCGAGTCTGCTCCCTACAGGATCCAAACTACGACCAAAACTTGGAACTGAGCCGAGTCGGGCGAGGCCACAAGACCTGAATGATATTGCTTTAGGGAGACCAAACTGCGCTCAAAACGAACATGAATGATTGAATCAATGCATGGATTTGAAAACATGTTCGATGAAAACATCACATGTGCTGTGCAGCAAAGACTCCGCTGTCAAACAAAAACCTCGTTGCGGTGGGTTCTAATCAGCTGGGAATCTTCGGGATGCTCTCCCGCCACTTTCGCGACCTGTGTTTTACTTTCGCGGGCCTCGGTTCAAAATGTGTGTTCTCGCCACCTTCACGGCGAATCCCTCGTTCTTTAGCGTGCATATGGCTACTTCCACCTTTCTCAACACAATGATGTTTCAATTTTGGTCTCTACCATTTCTATTCAATTCAAAGTGTTAAGCGGATCGTAGCGGATCCTTTTCATATGATCATAGGGCATGGCCGCCATCATAAGACAAAGATGATGAAGCATTGTTTCAGGCACCTCTGATGACCTAAACTCAACCCCAAAACATATTGGAGGACCGACATGTGGTCTGAGAGGGTCTCACTTTGATTCGGAGAATCTAATCAACCGATGCACACACTTGGTGACGCCGTGGTGACGGCCGTGCTTACGTGAAACGACCTCCGTGTGGTCCAGGATGGACATCGAGGGAATGTGTTGCACTTATATTCGATTCTAGATCTTTTGACCCTCCACAAACAATAATCAAAGCATATCAATCATTGAGGGAGACCCTCAATAAGAGAACCAAAACCTCGGTGTTCGAACAGAACGAATCTGCAAAGGCCTTAAAAACACCCTTATTGGCAGCCTGGCAATGTCATGCTAAACATCAAACCTCGAAACTCCTCGAAACTGGCACCTAGCTGGCACAGAATATTCTTGCCTTCAAAGGAGGTGCAATTTGACTTTACCAACATTGTGAGCGACTACCTCGACTACCTCGCTGCTTTGAGGTCAAACGAATCGCATGCACCCTTTCAACTCGCTCCCAGGCTGGCTGATGTCTCTACAGCTCCCAGCCATTGCAGAGTTGTTCTCTGTGTTTCTTGTCTTTGCTGTATTTTACTGTGTCTGTCTGTGTGTGTCTGACTGTCTGATTCTTGTGAATTTTTGTGACTTTTGCACTGGAGCCTCAGACTTAAGATTGCTGTTAGCAAGGAATATGCTGCTTAAGATCTCTGAAGGCTGCTGGTTCCATGTTCATCCGTTTGCCGCGCTCTGCTAGGATCTGAATCACTTCAGCGATTGCACAGCCTTTTGGATTTCCTTCTCCCGGTCATAGTACTTGTCCTGAAACCAGCTTCTCTTTTCGGGAAAGGACCTCCCCCACACGCTGCCAAGCTCAGGAGGGGCACAATCCTAACGACCCCCCCAGGCTTCAACAAGGACGACGTCCAGAGCTCCATCTTGGGTCCTATGTGGTGCACCATTGACAGATCGGTGTGCTCGGTCCCAGAGGCACCCAGGGATGAGCAACACACAGATTTTCTTGATGATTCTTGACCTGCTTTTTGTGCAAAGATCCTGTGCAGTCGGTCCGGTAAAGCCCAGGTACTGTGCCGAGATGCAGTGATGGACGGGGGAGTCCGATGAAAAAGAGGTTTGTGTGCAGTAATGGACGGGCAACCACTGTTGAGAAAGTCTGAGGGATCAAAAAACATGAAATGAATGGAGATCTGAGATCCGGCAACAAAAACATACACACACTTGACACTCGACATTCTCCCCAAAGGACCCTGAATCTGTACCAAAGCTCCCTGGCAAAATCGTTGAAAAAGGGTGAAAACTCAACTGTTTGTGGAAAATGTGGGAGATGCTTTTCTTGAATTCCCAGCATCATTCGGCATCGAGAAATGCCCAAAAATGCGACATGTCGAAACACGCGACAACCGGTTCCGGTCTGACCAATCATAATGACGCCCATGAACCATCCATGATGATCTATCTTGATTTATCTGGATCCATAATTGTTCGGTGCAAGTGAATCACTAGGTCAAGAGGATGCTCATGAGTTTTCCATCATGATGATATGATAATTATGATAACTCTATACTGTATCTGTTTTTATGTCCCAAGCCTTACCTATAGCTCGCTATAGCTCGCCTTCAGCTTCTGGGGAATCTTCTTCAATAACTCCTGCGGGAAGATCCGGAGCAAGGTCCATGCCTGGAGTTTGCTGCTGCGAAGTACCCCGAGTCCCACATGGATGGAACATGGATGGACCAAACCGAGTTGGCCGGTGTAAATAAATCAGAATAAAAGACGGTGTTGATGAACGTCGCTCGCTCTCGACTTTTTGTACATGGGCACATGTTTGAGGGTCATTTCACTTGTCTCATGCCTGAACCAGGCTCAAGAGTTGTGTTCATGCGGAAAAGGTTTTTTCCACTTGCGCGCCATGACTGTGTCCTGGCAGTGATTCCAATATTGGTGCCGCGGAGCTGCTGGTTGCGAGCCAGGGCATGACGCCTGGTTCACGGGGCAGGATCTGGCAGCCTCGACCCTCGGCTGCAGCACCTGCCGTTGATGGTGAGCCCACGGATGCTGCTGCTCCTTTGGATCCATGGGCTGCTTGGCATGAAAAAGGTGGAAGGGAAGGGCGCCGGGGGCGCCACTTCGTCGGCCGCATTGGAGGGGGCCCCTCCCACGGAGGACCATGATTCATGGCCGACTGCTTCTTGGCATGAATCGTGGGAAGGGGATTGGCAAGAGGATGAAGCAGCCTGGGCGCTTGCCTGGCCGGAGGACCATGGGGAGAGCGATGAGCAGTGGCTCTATCGCCATTATGGTGGCCCTCGTAGGCAGGCAGACGCCAGAGGCTGGGATGATGCTGCTTGGGATGCGAAGACTTCTTCCAATGGCTGGTTGTCGGACGCTCAACTTCGCCGTTTCAATACGGCTCCCCTCGGCAGGCTCAATGCCACCTCAGATGGCAAGTGGCTTGGATCCTTCCACCCCATCGGGGATCCCGGAGGCCGGGACTGGGATGGCTATCCCTACGAGACTGAGGCCTTCAAGGAGAAGGACATGAAACCCACGGAACGGGTGAAGGTTCCGACCTTTGATGGTGGCACCTCTGATGACAAGGACGCCGAATCCATCGGCAGATCGGCCAGGTCGTATGTGAGAAGGGTGCAGGCCTGGCTCCGAGTGACGAAGCTTCCACCGGCTCATCGAGCTCTTGCCCTGTATGATGCTTTGACGGATAAGGCATGGGTCGTTGCAGAGGAGCTGGATTTGGATGTCCTGAGCACGTCGCAGGGCGTCCCTTTTTTTGGAATGGATTCAGACCCGCTTCATGGACGTCGAGGTGACTAAGATCTCCCAGCTCATGAACGACCTCTTCAGGAGATGCAAGCGGAAGCAGGACCAGTCGGTCCGAGAGTTCAATGTTGAGTTCGAACGGTTGGTACTGCGGCTCCACGAAGTCAGGTGCGAGCTGCCTCCTTTGGTGAAAGCCTGGCTCTACGTGGACAAGTTGCGCCTTTCAGAACAAGAAGAACTCGCCTTGTTGGCTTCGGTGGGCAACGAGTACGATGTCCGCCGCTTGCAGCACGCTGCCCTGGTGCAGGATCGAACTCTTCGGCATGGACGGGGCCCCCAGGAGACTCGGGGGCCAAGCGGCCCTTCAGGTCGTCCCCGTTGGCGCCAATCGGTTCACATGACCGTGGATGGCGCCTCCTCTGACGAGGATGCTGAAGGCAGCGAAGCCTCCATGTTGGTCGATGAGGAGACCGCCATCGCCGAGCACACCGCCTACATGACCTACCAGGGCGCGAAGGCAAAGTACAAAGAGTCCTTGAAGGGCCGAGGAGCTGACCCGTCCGAGCTGAAGCGGCGTGCAGAAGAGAGGCTTCGACTGGCTAAACAGAGATCCTACTGCAGTGCCTGCAAGAGAAGAGGACATTGGCATAAGGACCCTGAGTGTCCGTTGAAGGGTCAGTCAAAGCCGCCCAGCTCAGGAACCGCCTCCGAGAAGGTGCAGCAGGCACAAGTGTGCCACACGGTTCAGTCCTGCTACATGACGCAGTATGAGACCTCCCCGATCACCGAGTTCCTGGAGGGTGGCCTCTCTGACAAGGAGCACATGCTGGCGATTGTCGACACAGCGTGCACCAAGTCGGTGGCGGGCTACCAATGGTTTGAGCACTTCATCGAAGGGGCAGAAGCCCGCCAGCATGAGTACGTGATCGTTGATGAAACTGAACACTTCAAGTTTGGAGCCTCGAGAGTGTACAAGTCCACCTTCGCCATTTGGGCTTGGTTCGGCATCGCCGGACATTGGGTGGCTGCAAAGATCTCCATCGTTCAATGCCAGGTTCCCTTGCTTTTGAGCCGCCCGGCGCTCGCTGAGCTGGGCACTACTTTTGATATTGAGGCCCAGGAATTATCCATGGCCCGTCTCGGAGTACAAGGACTCCCAGTTGAACAGAGTGACACTGGGCACCCAGCTGTGCCCGTGACTTCTTTTCCGTCAGGAAGCCCACCTGTCTTGGCTCCTGGTTCTGGAGTGATCTGGATCCCAATCTCGCAGGCATACATGAGCGAGACTGCTGCTTCCGATCATGCTCGGGGAGATGGGGAAGCTCCCTTCCATTCCAAGTTCTACCCAAAGAAGGTCCCCAAGGAGATTGAGAACCTTTTGCAAGCTACCCCTTTGGCAAGTGCATCATTCTATTCTTGGTGGAAGGGAGCCAACCAGAGCAAGGATTTTTGGATTGAGACCCCCAATGAGATGTTGCGTATACATGTCAGCCCTCGTCAATTTGGCTTCAACCCCTGGAAGTGGAACACAGTTCATGGTCATCTCAAAACCTCCCTCGTGCAGTGTTTGGACGGCCGTCGGATTACGGAGTGCATTCCTGTTCTTGAAGAAGGCACTCATGTCAAGGTTTTTGAGCATGCAGTCAAGTCACGTGAGTCTTCTTTTGATGATGCTGTGTTTGCCTCTTGCGGACTATGGATCGGGCGCAGCCGCTTCACGAAAGCAAACCCGCTTGGCATTCCGACTTCACTGGCCCTGGTGACGAATGCCTCCCCCGGCCAACTCCTCGACCTCGCCATGGAAGATGCGCAAAGACGAGATCATCAGGGAGTTGGAGACGGCGCACGATCTTCCGGTCAACCGCCGGTGGCTGCTCCCGGAGTTGCGCCAGATGCTCATCGAGGCCCGCAAGGGGACGCAAGACTCCAACAGCGTGCCGGACCCCATGAAGGGCATCACCCGGCTGTCCCTGGCGGAGCTCACCGCCCAAGCCAAGAAAGAGGGCATCGAAGTCCCTGCGAAGGCCACGAAAGGTTGGCTGATTCACCAGCTGAGGGAGTCGCGGGCGACTCCCGGCGACACTGTGGTCCCCTTCGGCAAGTTCAAGGGTTGGCTTTACCGGGAGCTGCCTCCCGGCTACCTTCGATGGGCAGTGGCCGAGGTCAAAGAGAAGAAGGAGGAGGCACACCCGGACTTGGCTCGATTGGCGTCGTGGGCCCGGCAGGAGATGGAACAGGCCCCTCCGAGCAATCCCGTCACCAAGAACCTGGTCAAGGACCCGGAGGCATTGGCGACAGTTCCGGTGCCGACCCTGGAGGAGCTATCGGAGGGGCACAGCTCGGCATCTACATGGAGCAAGGTATCATCACACCTTGCCCCTCGGCCCAAAGCGTTCCATCCCGCGAAGAGGACTTCAAGACGGAACGACATGGAGACGGACGCTTGGGCCGATGTCGGAGAAGCCGCCGCTCCGGAGGAGGAGATCAAGGTGCTGGAGGCCCGTCTTGCTGCCCTCAAGCAGCGGCAGAGTCCATGAGCAAAGGAGGGGAGAGCTCCTCCGGATCCGAGGTTGAGATCGACATCGGCGGCCACATCCTCTTGCGCGACTACGTGGACAGCGGCGAGGACGGATATAAGGAGGTGTCTGAGGATGATGGCACCTTCCACAAGCCACGCACTGAGGATTTCATCGGTGGCCATGCCTTCCAGTTTGAAGATGTCTATGAGATCCCCTCGGAATCCGAGCAGGTGATTGAGGAGCACACCAAGGCTCACGGACTGAGCCCCAGGGACAGAGCTAAAGCTGGCATCCGTCATAGGAAGCGGATGAATGAAGGGGCCTGGAAGCGACTTCATCGGCATATGAGTTCGCTGGCCATGGTTTTCATGGCTTGTTCAACCGCCTTTGGCACTTGGGCGGAGGAGTTGATTGGTGCACCCGTGCAGGACGCCGTTGACATCTTCCGTCCCTCTCAGTACATCTATGAAAGCTCCCTGGCTGAGGAAGACACCGAGGTTCAATGCCTGGAACTTTTTGCCGGGCAGGCTCGCATTTCCGAGGCCTTCGCACGACGGAAGAGAGGAGTCTTGGAACCAAAAGACCTTCGCTTCGGCCATGACTTCCGCCAGGCAGATGAGCGGGAAGCCATTCTGCGAGATGTCGCTCTTCATCGGCCCAGAATGACATGGCTAGCACCACCTTGCACCTATTGGTGCGGGTTTTCCAAGCTCAACTACTCCAAGCAAGAGCTGCGGCGGCTTCGCGCCGGCGAACAGGTCCTCATTGAGTTTGTGAATGACGTCCTGGAAGCCCAACACGGAGGAGGACGCTTGGCAGTGGTTGAGAACCCCCGGAACAGTGACCTTTGGCGACATCCTTTGATGCAGCGCTGGATCCTCCAAGATGGTATACACCTTGCCAAGGTCGACCTTTGTGGATATGGTTTGGTGGGGGGTCCTGATGGAGCGCCGTTGAAGAAACCACTGAGCTTGATGAGCAACAGCGAGACATTCTCGTCTTCCATCTCAAGAGCTTGTGTTCATCAAGCCGGCGAACATCGACTGGTGCAAGGGAAGTTGACCGCAGAGACAGCAGTGTATCCCACCAGCTTTGCTTCGGCTGTGGTCCGAGCCTTTGACCAACATCGGCGGACGGGACGCAATGATTCCACCACCATCTTCACGACGGGCACGACCCCTGCCGACGAGGAAGCTCCACAGGACAAGGCCAAGAGCGTGGGCGCAGATGCCATTTCGTTCAAAGGGAAAGTCAATCCCACCGTGGCTGCAGCGCTGAAGAGGATCCACCAGAACTTGGGTCATCCGTGCAACCGCGACCTGGTGAAACACCTACGGCTTGGAGGAGCCCCTGCTGCAGTGCTGAATGCCGCTCAGCAGATGACTTGCAGGACATGCGAACGGAGCTCCCAGGCCAAGCTGCATAAGATGAGTGCTCCGGTAACCATGTTGGATTTCAACGAGGCAGTAGCAGCAGATGTGCTCTGGGTGGACACCGTGGAGACCAACAACCACCCTTGCCTGAACCTGGTAGATCTTGCATCAACCTACCAGGTGGTGGTTCCTTTGCCGAGCACGAAGTCCGAAGATGTTGCCAAGGCCTTTGTTTCTGGATGGGTGCGTTGGGCCGGAGCACCAAAGCACTTGCTCATCGACCTCGACTCGGCATTCAAGGACAGCTTCCTCACCATGCTCGACGAAAGATGTATAGTGGTAAGGGCGGCAGCAGGACAAGCCCATTGGCAGAACGCTGTCGCAGAGCGCCATGGTGCGACCTGGAAGCTGATCTGGGCCAAGCTCGTCGAGCAGAAGACGGTCGTGGAGTCCGAGATCGAGGAGGCCGCTGCTGCTGTGAGCGATGCAAAGAATGGCTTGCGAAACAAGTCTGGGTACAGCCCACGCCAATGGGTGTTTGGCTGCAGTGCCCGTGATGGAGTCGACATCTTCGACGGCGACCATGAGGTGGCATCCCTTCAAGCCGCCTCTGCAGACTCCAAGTTCGCTCGGGCTCAAGTGATCCGCACTGGGGCGAAGGCAGCCTTCTTCGAATGTCAGAGCAAAGATGCTCTCGCCAGGGCCGTCTCCTATAAACCTCGGGTCGCAAGTCGTGAGTTCGAGCCTGGAGAACTGGTTTATCTATATCGTGAGAGTCGTCAAGGAAAGAGCAAGAAGCCCACCGCCGCTTGGACTGGGCCAGCTGTTGTGATCGGCAGAGAGGGCTCCAACTACTGGCTTGCTCGTGGAGGACGATGTCTACTAGCCGCCCCTGAACACGTGAGAGAGGCCAAACATGAAGAAGTCAGTGAGATGCTGCGCCTCAAGGTGGCCATGAAGGAGATCAAGGCAATGGCACAAGCTGACGGCGATGAATATGAAGAAGTCGATGACCACGATGCTCCAGGTCCCGAGGTGTTCCAGCGGCCAGCTGGTGAGGGAGGGGCAGACATGGAGGTGGAGCCCGAGCTGGAAGGGGGACGACTTGCTCCTGGTGGTGCACTTCATCAAGCAGCCAATCGAGAAGAGTTGATTCGCACCTCCATGAGGAGGGCCAAGTTACTTGATGACGTACCAGTGTCTATCAAGAAGGCACGGCTTGGGGAGGCTTCTTCGTCAACGGCATTCATGGCCCGGCATTGCCTCTCCGCAAAGGGGAAAGAAAAGCAGTTGGAGAAGGAGCTGCCGTGGGGAATGATCCCACCCCAGGAGCGACCGCTCTACCTGGAAGCCGAAGATAAGCAGTGGCAGGAGCATATGTCCTTTGGTGCGGTCAAACCTTTGTCAGTTGAGGAGAGCAAGAAGATTGAAAGCACTATAGATCCATCAAGAATCCTGAGGGCACGCTTCGCCTACAAGGACAAGAACCACAGCAAAAGAAAGACCGATCCCTCTCTTCCGTGCAAGGCGAAAGCCAGGCTTTGCGTTGCGGGCCACCATGATCCGGACCTTGGCGTGAAGGACATGACGGTAGATGCACCAACAGCCTGCAGGCATAGCATCCTTCTCGCCATCCAATTGGCTATGTGCCGGAGCTGGCACATCTCTGTCGGTGATATCAGGGCCGCCTTTCTGAACGGAGTTCCAGCTCCCCGACAGTTGTACTTTCGCCAGCCGCGAGGGGGAATTCGAGGGCTCGAACCAAGTTGGTCGAGGTCGTCAAGGGAGTGTTTGGGCTTAGCACCTCACCCAAGTTGTGGTGGATGAAACTTTCGCAAGACCTCTGTGCCCTCTCCCTGAATGTCGGAGGCGATGCTGTGTATGTTGAGCACAACCCCATCGATCCGTGCGTCTTCAGGCTGGTGTCCTCCGACCGCCAATGCACAGTTGGGCTGCTCCTTACCCATGTTGATGACCTCATGCTGTTGACCGAGAAGCCACTGGTGCCCTTGGTTCAGAAGGCCCTGCAAGAGCGCTTCCCGGTGGATGAATGGCAAGATACTGACTTTGAGTATGTGGGTTGCGAGTACAAGGTTTCTGAAGATGAGGTCTTCATCAGCCAGAAGGGGTACACCGAGAGCCGGGTCTCAAAAGTGACCGTGAAGTCTGAGGTCGGCAAGGAGGAGGTCGAAGAGAACAGGACCTCCATCGGCAGTCTCTCATGGCTTGCTAAGCAGACCAGGCCTGATCTTCAGTTCTTCGTTTCTCAGGCACAGAAGAAGCAGAATGCGCCAGAGGTCGAGGATTTGAAGTTCACGAACAAGGCCGTTGGCCTCGCTCTGAAGCATAAAGGGGAAGGCATCCACATCAAGAAGATTGACGAGGAGAAGATCATCTTCCTCTCCTACCACGATGCCGCTTGGGGCAATGCTGACTTGGATGATGATGGCGACCCCCAATGGACAGGGGATCATCGAGTGGCCTCCCAGATTGGGTCATTGACCTTCATGGCGCATGCCGATTGCCTTGGAGGGCCCGGTGGTGCTTGCAGCTTGGTCGAATGGAAGAGCAAGGGCTGCCAGCGAGTATGCCGTTCCACCTTCGCTGGCGAGACAATGGCTTGCTGCGATGCTTTGGAGGGAAGCATTTTCCTAAGATCCCTCTTCCTCTCCATGATCCATGGCAAGATCATCTCAGAGGCGGAAGCTGGAGCCTTTATCCCTTTGCACCTGGTCACCGATTGCAAGAGCCTCTTCGACCACATCCATCGAGAAGGCGTGCCAAAGGCTCCTACTGAGAAGAGGTTGGCCATCGATTTGGCCGGAGTCCGACAGTCCCTGATGAGGGAGGCTCTTCACCAATGGAAGAGGCTGTATGGTGCCGATGCAGTCCATGCTCCGGAACGACCTTGCCGACCGCCTTTGCACTGGCTCCCAACAGAGAGCCAAATGGCCGATTTGCTCACGAAGGCCTTGGCTGCTGACGAATGGTGGACCACCGTCCGAACAGGACGCCTGCAGCTGCCGCTGAAGGCCATGCCAAGCCAGCAGTGCTTGGTAGAGAGCTTTTGAGCAGTGTTGATGAACGTCGCTCGCTCTCGACTTTTTGTACATGGGCACATGTTTGAGGGTCATTTCACTTGTCTCATGCCTGAACCAGGCTCAAGAGTTGTGTTCATGCGGAAAAGGTTTTTTCCACTTGCGCGCCATGACTGTGTCCTGGCAGTGATTCCAATAGACGGTAATTATGTGTTGAGGGGCATTTTTGTTGCCAACTTCGCCAACTTGAAATAGTCAGGCTCTTGAGCAAACCTCTTGCCACACCTATCAAGTTGCTGTGCTGCAGGTTGGAGAAGCATACCAGTAGGGTGACCGGGGTTCTTGATTTGCATCAAGAAGCACTCCAGTATGTGTATATATACACACTACTAACATATACTAACTAGAAAACATATGACATGACATCAACACTGTGATAATGAAAGAACATGTATGAGAGGATATGAGGTGGTTTTCACAATAGGCCTTCGAGGTCGATTGAGAAACGCTAGAAAGTCCAGAACATGTGTCACGAAGCTCTTTACTACGCGGACCACCGGGATCTTTGAGAGATGTCAGACCTGGTTTTGGAGTATTTGGTATTGATCCACCTGAGTTCCGGGTGACCCCGTTTGCCAACGGCGTTAAGCTCTCGGCGATGTCCAAGGAAGTAAAGACATCACGGTTCTCATAAGCGCCCTGGGTCCTCAATCGAATCGAGCATCATCAAGGAGAATGCCTTCTTGGAGCCTGCAGCCCTTCCAAACGTCACACAAGCGTGAATCACAAACGTTGGGGAACAACTGGTTTACCTGAAAACCCTCCCTTGCTGTTGCTCGAGCATCAAACTTAGTGTTGTTTTCGCGAACACTCTCAAACACCCCGCAACATGATCCTAGCCTTCAGCCTCTCTGACTCCCAAACAGGGGAAAAGGACATCGGACAGCACTCTCTCTGAAGTATACTCAGTCACCTCTTGGGGTTCACCTCACGTTGTACCAACTGTTTTGTCTATATAATCAATAATTACTGTTGTTTGAGTATCAAACTGAGTCGGTGCATATTTTGTTGTATAATTCATAATTATAAGATATTATAAGATCTTCTAAGCCATCATGTGGTTTCAACTTTCAGACATCTCAGGGCCCCTGCAGGAACTTCAGCTCAAACTTGTCCGTGAACTCCAGGAATTTATGCCTGGCGCTTTTCTTTTCTGGCAAGTCTCGGGGGCATAGGCCGTGCGTGGGGTGGGTGGGCCGTCATAGGAAGTGACTGACTGTATACCAATCACAACAAACTCATACATATAGCGATTAAATGCTATAAGCATGTTCGGTTGATCCGCTTATTTGCCAGAAGCTCTTCGTAAAGCACACTGGCGTCCAACTTGATATTAACATTGATTGAAACAGTTTCCAACACGACGCATGTTTGAAGACTCTGGGGCTTAGGGAGCCCCCTCATAGGACTGTGAAATAACGCCAGGATGGCTCGTCCTCGTTCAAGGCCTCGAGAAGGATTCAAAGGAAAGGAACAACTTGCTGGCTCAATCTTGTGCATGAAGCGTGTAGAAACCATGCAGAAATCACTCCGAAGCCACAAAACGCTCGTTCCGCCCTGGCAAAGGCAAAAGCAAAGTAGGTCGGTGGATACTTACTTTTGTGCGACACTCGTTCGGCTTAGCTTGTACCTCACCTGTCTCTGACCGTCTCTGTCGCCTCCTCATCGCACTCAAGGTCTCCCATGTAAAGCTTCAATTCATGTCAACCAAGAACCAAGTTCAAGGTATCCAACCTCTGAAAAGCCCAGGCCTCTTCGCCCACGACGGCCTTCATGGCGCGGGTGTCCTGGCAAGAGCTACCACATCACTAGGCATTCCTCTGGCAGGTATTCCTCTTGAAAAGGGGGTGCCCGCATCAGAGTGAATTCGAGGCTTTTTCAGAAGGACTACCTGGATCACACAGTCACCCTCATTCGACACAGGCAACAGAGTCTGCAGCATCTAGACCACTAGACTATAGGCCACTCTAGAATATCCTCTGACATCAGACATCCCTCACCAACACAACCCTTCTATTCTATTCCAACATCTATCGCCCTCCGCAGCAATTGTGATCAATGTATATATAGAAATGTACAAGCATGCGTGCCTTGAATGTAGAACCCATGTAGTATTATGAGATGAGATTATATACCAAAAAACACCAAACCATTAAAATCAAAAAGGATGGTTCCTGAATTCGGAACTTGCGTGACAATGTCCTAAAGAACTGTTGTTTTTCTTGGCTTTACCCTTTGCCAGAACGAAAACACCCACACCCAACTCCCTGGCCACAACCACTTGCCTGGCCGATGGCATAGTTGGCATAGAGCTGATCTGAGACGTTGGGGTGGTCATCTCGCGTCATCCCTTTGCCGATGCCCGACTTCATCAATCGGCTCAAGGATGGAAGCACCTCTGAGACACAGGACCAGCCGGCTCGCACTTCGTTCGCTTGGATTGGTGCCGGACAACACGCCACCTGCTTTGGTTTCCTACTATGTACAGCTTTCTTGGATGATGCCTTCAATATGCTTCAATATGCTTAGAGGGCCACCAATAAAATCCAACCACGACATGTGAGTCACCCTGGCTCTCCAATGTAGGGTGCATCCACCTGGAGAGCCATCACCAGTGTCTCCTGGTTTCTTGTCCCATGCGACCGGCCCAGAAACCAATGCTAAACCAATCATTAATTAAACCCTCTGCAGCTGAAACAAGTGGCAACTGCCAACCCTGGGGACGGCGCGTTGATCGGCGGGTAGATCTGTCGATTGTGCAAGGCTCGGTCCACAAAGACCTACCGTCAGCGCTTCATGTGTGGGGACTGCGAGGTGAAAAAGCCTTGCCACCAACAAACATAGAGGATACTATCTACTGCTTGAGGAAGGTTACTACGTACCCTTCACATGCAATGAGCATGAAGGCGGAGTCTGTTTTATCAAGTAAGACCTTCTTGCCAGTTCCTAATTGCCATATATTGCCATACCCTTCAAAGAAGGACCTCTGGCAATTGTATGTGCAATATGGAAGCCAACGTGACCCTAGACCCTAGACTAAACTAATTAATTCGATGATCCTTGACAGGGAAACATGCTTCTGGGAAGGGCGAAGGAACTCCGTCGAGAGTCATGTCCATGTTCCTCAAATAGAGGTTCGCATCTTTGCTTGTCTTATTAACACCAGCAATGACTTTAACCATGAGCTCTTTGAGTGTCAAGCACTCATCAATTCACAGTTCAATGGGTTTCTTCTCTCGCGGTCCAACCATAGGCTCTTCAATTGACATCAATTGACGCATCTGGTCTTCATCGCCCCTCAGGGTACTTCGGAAGGCTCTCCTGTTCACCCTCACTGCTCACCTGACCCTCAGTGATGTAGCCAGTGAGATCCGGAATCGGATGTGTAATGTCCTGCAAGGGCAACAAGCACAGGACACTTGGAAGAGAATGCGGGACAGGTCTCAGAATCCAACAACAAACACAGCCAACAAAACTCTACGGTGGATAGTGTGGTTTAAATCAACAATTAACCACACATGTTATACTTTAAAGTTCGTACTCGAGACTCTTAGCATCACCCTCTCGATGGGTAGCCTCGAACATGATCACCAAACATCCTGCATCTGCCATGTCGAGACGTCACAAAAATTGTACAAAAATGGTACCTACAGTCACTATTGCAAATACCTGGTTGTCCTCCCAGCTCTGCCCTCCACCTTGAGTCCCAATCTGCACTCAAGCCCTGTGCTTCCCGGCGTCATTGGGCATCGTAAGGATGGGAAACTGTGTGATGGAGCCATTTCCTCAGCCATGAACACCGAATCTACCATCTAAAATATGTCTAATACAAGACAAATACTTTATAACATTTTGCTATATTATTTCTATTTGCTGTATTATAATGTATTGTATAGATACTACATGATACTGCTACAATCTACCATTTGGATCCATTTGGTGAATCTATCCTATTCATCTCACTTCCTCTTCTATACCATAACCAAATGTCACCTCCGCTTCCTCATCTTCCTCTCATCCGCTTGCAGGCGGGTCTCCCCATGTCTCCCAGCGTCCCGACCGCGACCGTGGCGCTACGCCGCTCTGCGTCCCAAGCGGCGCCCCTCGACTCGGCCCGCACGTTCGTAGATCGTGGACAAGTCCTTCGTCGCGGCGCGGCAGTTCCGGGCAGTTCCGCGTTCTCACAGTGAACCGCGCGGCGAACCGCGGGTATCAGGGGATGTGGCAAGGGCAGGGCGGAGCGGATCCAGATTCGAGTCGCGGATTTCGGATGAAAATGATGAAAGCAATATCAAACTGCATGGTGCGAAAACGAGCATGCTGTTTGCCTCAAGAAAGCATGCTGTTTGCCTTATGTTATCTGGGTCCTTGACCACTGTCTTGCTCCAGTGAATGGTTGCTTTATATAGCTTCTTCAATCTCCACTTCTATTCACAGAACAAAAAGAGTTCAGAGTCGACCAAAAGAGATCTAGAGCTCAGAGTCGGGCTGTGTACCTGAGACAAATGCTGAGACCCTGGTCGGCTGGAAGGGGGGAGGAGTTCACAACTGTTTGGGCTACGAATATACGGGTGATTGTGGGTGCTACGTTGGAGGTGCGTGAATGTGTACACGTTCTATATAAGCCTAGTCTTGTATATTTGGCTTGTGGATAAACTCGCAAACACCCTATACACTGTAGGGGATCATGTTTCTCATGCTCTCGGTGTTTACATCAGGTATAGGTATAGGAACTTTGAACAACATCAAATAACATCTACTGTAAATCACCTCATACTAGTAGAAGCACCTCAGGATATATTGTAAACCACAAAAATCCACAAAGCTGGAGATCCTGGAGCCATCTGAGCAACACCCCACCAAAGCTGAAGAGCTGGTGCACTTAATGGAATGACAGAACGTTCATGGGCCTCGATCTGGTGCATGCAACGCCTAGCTGACTAGCGTCTCACCATCACAGAGTCATGCATGCTCGGCAGGTACGTGAACTGCCAAGGGCACATGTAACCGGGATATCCTCGTCGTCCTGGCACCTCTTCACGCGCTGCTGACACCTGTGGCGAGGATCGGTCGACTTTCTTGGCGCTCCTTGGACGATCCAATTGGGGACGCTGCAAACGACTGTTCATGGAAGAACGTCCTAGATGCCATCTGGAACCCCCTAAAACGCTGCTCCTGGGGTATGCCTTATCTCATGTCCATTGCGAGCTCTTCCCGGTCTTCCCTCAACAGAATACGTTGGAGGCAATCACTCAGCAAACCTTCTTTACACAGGAAGTCCGGCCTCTCGCAAGGCATCCGCATAGGAGCTCATGTCAGTCAGAATCACAAAGACCTCACTGTGGCAGTGGTGAAACCGGCAGTGGAATCTCCCAATATCTTCAACAGGTTAGACTGCAAGGAGAGGATTGCGAGTCTGTATATGTTGGGGAGATGTGACGATTGTTCAATAACTCCGGACTCCCGACTGAAGAACTTTCAACTCAGAAATCTGCGAAGAAACATCTGGGCTTTTGGCGTGCTGCTCTCGCGTGTACCTGGCAAAATAGGTCAACATATGTCAACATGATGCAACATGCACTTTGCATCACTTTGCTGATGGCCATGAGATCCAGTCAAGCTGATGGCCTATGCATTTTCTTGCGATGCCACTCTTGCATGATTTTGGAACCAAATCGATCCGTCAGCGCCTGACCGACATTTTCAGGGAAGGGGTGTCCATTGCATTCACTTTGGGTCTAAAATCCTCTTAGGGTCGCTCCACTTTTGCCCCGGTCTGCGGCCACCGTCTGGTCCACTGCGGCCACCGTGGTTCCGCACGCGAAGTATTCCGCCGTGGTCAATGCCAAGCGCGGGGTGACGATGCGCTCGATGGTGGGATCCTCAAGTCAATCAGTGGATCTCAGGACCACTGGACCGCGTCAGTTGTGCAGTGCAGTGAATTGGATAGGGATGCAAACACGTAAGCCCAGTTAAAGGTCATAATTTAATATTTTGCGGTGGTATGGTTACTCACACAACTGCACAAATTATGTCCAGTCAAATGCCGAACATGTACTGAATAATGTTCATGCACTTCATAGAAAAAAGGTGATGTTGATCTGAATCTTCAACTAACAAAAATGTAGGACTTGTCAAACTTGTCTTTGTATGATATCCAAAGTGTCAAAACACATCAGAAGATACATAAACAAAAAGAAAGCCACTGGCTTGGTATTCCTCCGCAATTGAGAAATGGCACCGCAAACCAATTAACGACTATGCCAAGTTCTATCATTGATTTGCAAACAGGGATACGGATGTCACTATCGGCTATCTATATTATTATGGTCTTAGTAAAACAAGAGCTCAAAAATCAATTAAACATAAAAATATATCGGAGAATGCAAATCAATTGCGCATGATTTGTCCTTTTTAACGACACCCCTTATCCTAGCAAAGGTCTGGCCATTCGAATAGGATATCCAGCAGATTTGTGTTACGCGCGTTCCCACGTGTTCCTGGGCAGCAAATGTGTTGCCTCATAAAGGTTTGGCATTTCTTTAAGCTACAGTAATTGACTGGTGGCAAAAAGAACATCAAAACCAAACAGCACTGTTGAACAGGCGGTTTTCCTACCTCTCTGCTGCAAAGCCTCAACTTTTTAGCGCTGGCCGGACCAGTGACCAGGGAATTCGCACTTCGCTCGAATTCATGTGCGTGACGAAGTATGCAAAGGGAGGGTTCCCATAGCTATGCTAGAACCCAAGGATCCTTCAAGCTTGTGTTGTCACCGCCTGAGAGCTTTATAAAGATTTGCCAGGGCAAACAGTTCCCGGATCATTGTGCATGTCCTTTTTCCTATGATCTAGCAGGCGGTACACCAATAAATCAAAGCGACGATCAAAACATCGATTCGATACTAAAACCTAATATCAGGTGCCATAGGTCGTACCAAAAACCAATGATTCGACAGGTTTTGCGAATTCAACACAAAGTGATTGGATCAGCAAACCTGACGTCGTGGGTCTTGGGAACCTTTGCATTTGCTTATCTAGGCGAGTTACAACGCTTCCGGTAGCCACTTCTGCCACTTCTACCAAATGGACAAGCGGCAGGTTACGTGGCGGCGGATTGCATCTTGTAGCGCAAATCGTAGGGGGGCTATAGAGTATCCATTCGGAATCCCGTGGTCATCCAGATGTCTGTGGGACCGTCTTACTTGTTGAATCTTCTCCGCCACAATGGGGACAACCAAACGGGGTTTGATACTCCGATCTTGCTTGTCCAGCCCGAAAGCACACGGGCTTCGAGAAGGCCGGTCTGTGGATGGATGGACCATCGACCTTCGGACGATCACAACGAAGCAAGTCGACCTTCGTCCCTGTGATTGGCCCGGGTGACTCGGTCGCGCTCGGTGACTCGTTCGTGGAACTTCCGGTGTGCGGTTGGGCGGGCGAGACCGGGCGGGACCGCCCCAGCGGTGCCCCTGTCCGGGTGCCCCGGCATTGGCCAAGTTCATGAAGAGCACCACATTCTCCATGGAACCGTTCCTGAGCCGAGGGACCCCTGCCAGTCGGAGAAGACAACACGCGGGGTGGCGGCCGGGTAGGCGGGGTGGCGGAAGGGTGGCGAGCTGGGTCGACCTGAAGAAGCTGCAAACCAGCTCCCAAACGCGACCCATGGGACTGCCATAGGACTGCCGATCAGGCCAGGGGTGGTTCCAGGGAGGTCAAGTCAGGCATGGTTTTCCAGTCCCAATAGTCCCATGGAGTCTAATGGGATTCGGTGAGTTTGCCCCTTTTGTACCCTCAGCCGCCCGGCTCTTCGAAGTCGTTCCGGAAGAAGCGCGCCGTCTCCATGTTCACACCTGATGAGCGTTGCATCTTGAGGCAACATCCAAAGCTCACTTCCAAGCTATTCACAACCAATCCGCGCTTCCGTCATGTGCACTGGCATTAGAGTAGTCCACTACAAGCAAAACCACGCAAAACCATGCAAAACCAACAGATTCTTCCCCTTCAGTGTCCATGGTACCTCCGGCCACATTGTTCTGAAAACTACGACTGATTGGGAAAGGGGAAAGCAAAAATATAGTACCCTAAGAATCCGGGCCCTCAAACCGATAGGGTTTTGAGGGCCCAAACCCCTGCGAAGGTGTCGGGTCCGACCCCTGCCATGGAGAGCCCAAGGATTCTTAAAGTGACTTATTTATTCCACTGCCCAAGACCAATGGTGATGAAAAATGGTCAAATGGAAGTGGCTGTTCGTCATCAAGAAATCACCAATGTTTGAAGACTTGTGGACGCCTGAATACGCTATCCGCCATGTTTCATCAAACAAACACAACCCTTTGAATCATGTGACATGATGTGGTTTCAATGAAACAAACAACACCATTCACAATCCTTTTATAGATGTATGCAGGATCGGACTGACACTTGCAATGCAAACCGGCTAGATCGAACTGGCACCTGCTCAAATGCAGACCCGTAGGTAATACACATGCATGGATCAATTTCGGAAATTATGGACCGAGGAGCCAGCTACCTGAGGGGGTCCTGCCAAACACTTGGTTGCATGTACTTTTTCGGTTCCGCACAGATTCGTTTCTTGTGGTGGTAGTGTCTTGAAAAAAGGACATCATGCCACATGTTTGTTGTATATGATCATTGGTGGACGGTAGATATTCAACGATCTTCACCATAACCTCTCACACCACATGGTTGTGACACCTGTGTGAATACAATTATGGTATGTTGCAGCCCTCACAACTCTCAACCTTTGAAGCGTTAGTTTTAGAGTCAAAACATCTCAAAACATCTCAAAACCATGAATACCTGACCATGCCATGCAAACACTGTGCCTGCCTCTGTTGTCCTACCTGTCCCAGACAGGAACACTGGGCACACCTTCCTTCGAGCGACCACCTTCACCAACCCATGCATGCGCGGCCGGCGCGACCCATGCGCGGCCGGCGCGGCCGGCCATGGGCGCTCTCTGGGACCTCCCCACCCATGGCGCCGAAAACGATGCTAAAGTTTTCTTGGCTGTGGTCCTGCACCTGGGCCATTGGGCCATTGGGTGTGCGTGCGTATACTGGGGCCACCGGTGTGCGGGTGAGTGGTGAGGGCCATATTTGCTGGAAAACTGGTGCGGTGGCAAGAGGGTGGTGCATTCCATGCATGAATCCATGTAGTTACCAACGTTTCTTTACCAGTCTCCAGGGCATGCTCTGGGCCATACAACAAGGGGGCTCCTAGAATCCCATGACCCTCCCCTCTTCCGCGCAAAGGACTTCCATGCCAAGGCACATCCTTGCCCTTCACCAGAGATGCTTGCCGACAGACCTGTCCGGTGGATTCTACTAATTTGATTTGATTCTAATTAAAGTCTATTTTATATAGTATATCATTCTACTTTCTTGTTATTAGTAGTAAGGCCCTTGCTCCTAGTAGCGATGCCCTTTGCTCCTAGTAGCGTCCTTGCTCCTACCCCCCGTTCCTTGGTCGGAGCGAATTGGCAAACACGAGACGACCAAAGAACGAGACCAAGAACGACAAAGGTTGGCACGTCGTCCGGAGGGTGGGACTCAAAAACACAAACTGGGCAGGGTTAAGGAGCTATCTAACCTGACACAAAATCAGTGGGTCATGCAGTCAACTGACTGGGTTTCAGTGTCAACTGTTTTGGCCATAGCTTGAGTACACAAAAGGAGACAGTGCCCGGCCCGAGGTTATAGAAGAGAGGGAACCCAAGGTTAACATATATACATGATAGTTTTGCATCAAAGGACACACGATCACTTTGACATTCAAAGAAACACATTCATTTCAATACCTGAGTTGGAGGGATCCCAAAAATTCTTGAGGTATACCCATGTTGCTGCACAATCCATCCATCCATCCATCCCCACCACGCCTGTGCCGCGATCTCGTTGTGGGGCAGGCCAGCTGCCTAGAGCTATGGGGCTCGAAATGGGGCGGGATATTCTCGGGATACGGCGCTCGATGTTTGGTACCTGCTTGGTGGATCTTGGTGTCTTGTCTAGCCAGGTGGCAGAACGAACAAAAATGCAAATAATGATCGAATAACAAAAAACGCTTATTGAGGAGTTCCTGTCTCTGGCTGTTTTTCTTCTTTTCGGGCGTCCGCACGGAGAACAACGGCAGCTTCTGCCCGCGCACCACAGAGTTCATGGTGTCAATGGCACTAATCCCGGTCCTCAGTGGACAATGAGGCTGCGGCAGCTCCTGGTCGTTTTTGGTGGCAAAGCCATCTGGCATCATCTGGCCATCTGTCACGTGTGTGTTTCTTTCTTGATTCTAGGGAGACCCATACACAACCGATGGGTTTAAAGTTTTAAGTATAGTATTATATATATATAGTCTATATTAAATAGTTGCTGGCAGCATGCTTCGCCCAGTAGTTTTGCGTGTTAAAGAACCTGCAGGGTTGACGCTTTTTTTAAAAACAACTTGTGCCCTTCGGATTGCATGTGAGCAGCAGGGGGGCCGCCCAGGGGGTTTTCTTGTCAACTGGCGTTCGTTCCGATCGTTTAGACTTGGTTTTCTTGTCAAACTTCCTCGGCCTTCAATGACCTCCGTTTCGGTTCGATGGTTGGGTTTGGGGGTCAGTCCCCACCGAACCTGAGATGGGCCAGGAGCCGTAGGGATTTGCAGCCGCGTCTCCATTCCAGGACTGGTATGCATCGTTGTTTGTGGTCTGCGCGGCCGTTGGTGTACATCCTGTATGATCTCAGTTGGATTCGTGTGGCCGGGGTCCTCTATCCGTGAGCTTGGGAGACGGTGACAGACCACGGTCGCATTTTCCAAGTGAACCAGCACCTGGAAAGCATATCCTTTTGTTGCTCGGCATGGCAAAGATGAAGACTTGTTGAGAATTGGACAAGCGTCAAAAGCAATTGATAGTTGCATTGTTTGTCTTATCTCAGCCATTGATCGTGGCTTGCAATGGCCTAATGGCAATGAGCAAAGCTCACTTCTCATGAGCAAAGGCCACGTTCCCGCTCTCGAACAAGAAGCCAGCGGAGATGCGCTGTGAAGGACTATTGCTTCAATAACAAGTTGCATGATAATGATCATATCGATGTTCATATTTGTGTATATATACATATTAATCTTCATTTATATGCGTTTCAAAATCTTCATCCGAAGTCCCAGAAAGGGACTCCGATGTGAATCCACTTCTGAAGCTCCGAGTGCACCAGCACAAAAGAAGGTTGACAGGTGTAAAGCTCCTAAGAGTGTGCTCAGAGTATCAACTCGGTGAAAACAAAGAGTTTTCGCAGCCGCATTTTTGAGCACTTTGGGACATGTGCAGAATAATTACCAGGGATCGATTTGCACATGCAGCAGAAAACAATACCAAGCGCCTGGAAGCGCCATGACCATATATTTCAAGTCAATCTTCCCTCTGTACGCATCTAACATCATCTAACCAACGGTCCTTGAAGTAATATCCAAAACCTCACCATTCATCCAACCCTCACTTAGGGTTTTTTAGGTTTTACAAGTAGATCCCTTAGCTTGCAATCAAAAAACAATAAAAGTATGTTACAATAATAAAAGTTTTAATAACATAGATACATAGTAGCTTCCCTTAGTACTGAGATGTATAGATGTACCGAGGGTTTACCCATCAATTGCTGAGTTTTGGGGATCAACCTCAGATGATTTAAGCCGACCCCCCCCTCTGCGTGGTCTGTCCGTTCGCCAGATGTCGGTCTCAGGAAGGAGAGATGTAGATGAAGAGACGTAGAAAGAAAGCATGCATATAAATTGGTTGGGAAGAGACGGAAGAGATGTAGATGGACGCAGTGGAACATAGTGGAACACAGGAGAGGCCCTCCTTTTGAGACATGCTCCGGGATGGTCACTGAGGCTCTCACTGAATCATCTCCTTGGGATAGACCCGCGACCTGCACAAGAAGACGGATTTGAAGGGGAGACACTACATTCTTTCATCACAAGGTCCTCAGCAAATTCTCAGTGTATGATCAGAAAGGGTCTGATATTTCCATGAATCACGTGTACTTTTGCTGAAGCCCTCAATGCATCTCAATGTGCTTCGTTCCACTTAGTCACTTAGCCCTTTCTATTTGCCCAATCCACATGCTCAGCCATCGTTTTCCTCCTCCCAGCAAGCCACCGCCGGGCCCCGGGGCTTCGGGTTCAGCGGAGCTCCGCCGATGTCCAGGAACTCCTCGGCCAGCACCGTGGGCCTGCGTCGGTCAGGAGCCCAGAACTTGCTCGGACATAGGAGTACTCTCCCTGGAAGTGGAGAAATAGCTGTTAACTAGTGGAGTTCATGGTCTTCCATTCGGGGCCATTCTCCACTAGTGTAGATTCTTAGATGACTCTTGTTACTAACAGCGATGGCCTCCAACCTAGTAGCCTCTTGCTCCTAGTAATGGCCTCCAACCTAATAGCGATGGCCCTTACCTAGCAAGGGAACCCATCCAACATTTTAGGACCTCTCAAAGAAAATTGATGAACCTTGGCAACTGCGTCACGAAACCACCCTCTTGCACGGACTTGAGCTCAGTGACATGAACATAGATATTCCGCATCCGCAACAGGCGCCTCTTCCCGTCACCCCACGCCCCACTTCCCTTCGGTCCACCCCCCTGGCGCGCCCCTTGTCGATGGGTTTCCCTGATCCGTTGAAGGCACGGCCTCAAGCGGCCAGCGAGCGGAGCGTTGCGGCTCCGTTCCGGCTGGTTCACGGCCATTGATGTTTCGATGTTGAAGATTGATGAAGCTTGGTGAACATCATTCTCTGCTAGTCCAGGTAGCAGCATGGTAGCTAGTCCAAATGTGGAAAATGATCATCTTGAGGATGAATGACCTAACGACCACTGGAAGGCTCAGCTGCCAAAAAGGATCATTGAAAAGGTAACAGTGCCACTCCAAGTTCCCTTCGCATGTTGCCTAACAGCACAACAGCACCACATCCTTTATTTGCTCAGTCTCCAGGTTCAAAATAAGATGTTCAAATGTTTTTTCCCTGCAAAATCCCTGTTTTTTGCTCAGTGTTCTATGTCTGTCCGCTTGTTCTTCACGTTGGTATACAGAACCTTCACTTCTTCGCACTCTCACCGCCCCGGTTTGGACTCGGTGCCCATGAGGTCATCGGAGATGGGCATTTTCAAGGTGTCTCCCGTGAACTCGATGTGGCAATCCCTGCGAAGCGCGGTTGGGTGTTACTGCGACGTGGTTTAGGGTTTAGCGACGTGGAATTCTGGGCTCACACCGCGCTTGGAGCGCGGGGCACGTTTCTTCTTTGATCTTCTTTGCCTTCTTGTGATGAAGAGGCGTCGAAGGACAAGGGACATGAGAACTGATCAAAAGAGCTCTAGCAATCTTGCAACACCTGAATTTTAGATCCCCCGAAGTGGAAGGCCGTTCGTTAAAACTCCAGCAGACCGCCGGGTTCCATCTATATCTGGCATCGTCTTCCAGGTACATCTAAACAAACAGCACTACCGCGCGTGTGCATGTAGCATCATCTTCGAAGCACATCCAAATGACCGTCAAGGACGCGCATATTGCGCGTGGAATCACCTTACAACTCGTGTTGTGGCACGTCAAACCGCAAACTAAAATGCAAAGCGGCCACCAAATGGCATTTGGAAACTGGTACAATCTCCAAATCATCCATCGTTCGCCTCCCATTGAAACTCTTATTCTAGGCTGACAAGGATACGAGCACGAAAACAAATCTCGTTTAAGGCATTTAACGACGATGGCATTATGATGGCTAATATTATATACATGCATTTTCGGATAGCACAACACTGGTACCCGCACTTCTGCACAGTCGACATTTACAGGCCGCGCTCACATGAGCGAGCCCTGTGCCGTTCCAACGGAAAACGGTGGGTTGTAAATCGCAATGGTCAAAGCCAAAGCATGTCAAAGCACTATTGAAAGAATCAGTTCCTTATACTAATAGGATCTAGTAGGTCGGAATTCCTGCTTCACCATCTTAACCTGAGATGTTGTCCCATATCGCCACCATAGTGAAAGTCTCCCGCGTGTGGACGTCGCCTATTGTCGATGTTGCTGGTCCCCTCAAAGACCTGCACAATCGCCTGCGGACGGACGGCCAGGTGCGCGGTGCTGATGGTTGTTCCAGACATGTCCAGCAGTGGAGTGTAGACATAGTGTAGGGACTCCTCCTTTTTTAGACACATCGGTTTGGTTTTATTCCAGCCATGGCTTCAACATGGGATACACCTGTATGATCCTGTATTCACATGCCAAAATATGCACAGAGCCATTCATGACTTGATTCCAATACAACGACAGCAGGTACAGTAGTGTTTCATTTCACCTGCAGACTCTTTCCATCTATCCGACTGGTCCGACTGCCTTCTTCTTGTTCACCTCCAAAATCTGCCCTTGACGGACACTACCATCTGAGAGGTTCACGTTCACGATCTCACCTGGTCCGAGCCAGTCGGTCGGTCACCACGCAAGGCGCCGGAGCAAGGCCCACGGTCGGTCAGAAGTACCAGATGAGTCATGAGATGTCATGAGTCAAGTCTTTGTTTAAAGGGAAATGGTCGGTACATGTCTCTTGGAAGCTTGCGATGAAGCACAACGGCCGGCAATGGTGTCGAATGGTCTTCAACCCTGAGCAGCTCGAGTTGCACAACCCGGAACCACTACCGAGTCGGAAACATCATGTGTTCAGTCCGGTCCGGCCGGGAAAAAGAGGGGCCATGCTTTTCCTAGTTGAGGGATCAATCGAGGGAACTATGGCCCCACCGGCCCCCAGACTAGAGCCGATGCGCCATGCAGTGGCGCAAACCACTTGGTTTACCTTTCTTGGTGAGGCATGGTCCAGTGACTCCAGTGAAGATGGGAGATCAAACCAAACCATTTCCCTGTGTCCCTCAAACGCTGTGGATGGTTCCAAGAAACATATGTTGGATATGTGTTGGATCCATTTACAGGAGGTGTTCAGTCCGGAGGATCCCATTTTTGAACCGTCTGTTTCAAAACCACTCGCTAAAGAACAACAGAGTTCCCGGCCTGCGATGCTGCCATCCTCCACTGTCCCAATTGGCACCAGGTCTCCCCAATGACATCCGTTTGCGCTGATGATCATTGATGCGGAATCCGTTTTTTTGCAACATGTGTGGATCAGGTTTCTCTCCTGAGTTTCGTGCCGTAGGTTGGAAACTTGACATTCTCCATAATCACCAGAGGTCCCTGGGCGTAGTTGGCGGGTCAAAAGGACTCGTCATGCCCAAACAATCTAAAAGTATTAGCAATCCCAAACGCTCCAAACAGCCTTTGTTCCCTGAAAACCCAGGGATTTGACCAAGGCCGTGGTTTCTTCCCTTTGTTTTGTCTCACCTGCCAAACGCGCCGCAACCCTTAGCTTTTCGAGAGATGAAGCACTTAACCCCACTCCCCACCCCACCCCACTTTAACATTGGAACGTTTGATTTGCATGATTGTTGTACTACTACTACTACTACTGCTACTACTACTGCTACTACTACTACTACAATACTACTACTACTACTACTACTACAATACTACTACTACTACTACTACTACTACTACTACTACTACTACTACTA